TCACTCCAGGAGGATAAAATCAGTCATGCGGGCATGCCAAACAAGTGAAATAATGCCAGTTGTTCAGAAATTGCTTTATAATATATGTTTTAACACACATTATTATTTTTTTTTCTTTACAGAATTCATCTAGAAATTAATCACAGCAAGACTGTGATAAATTACTCTCCAGAGAGAGTACAAAAGACTAACCAGTAATTCCAGAATGAAAAGCTGACCACGGGACACTTATTTCCCTGACAGGATAGTATCAAACTGAAGAAAACAAAGATTACCGAATTCGTTAAATTAATTGACAATGGCCAAAACACCTAAAAAAAAATCACCAGCCTAAGAAGATGGCATCTAATAACCTCACTCTAACAAGTCAAGTATCAACATAGAAAGTTCAGGATACTATATAGCAGTTTCAGCTAGAAAGGTATTATTATGTATCCCATTATTTTCTTAGGTATCTCTCGCAGCTTGGATTATCTGGGTCACAACACAAATTACAGTTAATCTTAAAAACACTGATTTCCAAGTACAACAAACATCAGATTTATTGTTCTTCCAACTAGTAGACTTCCAGTGTTAATTACTTAAAAATCATTATTCAACAAATGGTTATTTCTTTGTTACTCACAGGATATAAGCCACCAGAAAGGGCCTTTCCAAGAAGAATTAAATCAGGTCTCACATTTTCATGGTCAACAGCTAACATTCTCCCTGTTCTGGCTAAACCAGTCTGTACTTCATCAGCAATAAATAGAACCTTTATAGAGACAAAAATAAGAAAAATCCACACATAACAAAGAACGACTTTCATTCCCATTCCTAACTCAGTTCAAACAATAGAGCATAATTGCACACAGTAAGTGAAAGACCTTCTAGCTGCATTACACTAAGTACACGCAGGTACTTCCTTTACCTCCTCTAAACCTCCCGAAGACTTACATATGCTATAAAATGTGAAACTACTAACAAATGAACATACTGTCCTCTCTCTCTCTCTCTCTGACATCTTTAGCATATTCTTTTCTATGTAAGGCACAGTCCACATAGGGTTGGCCACTGTCCAACCAAAATCTATTTGCAATATAACAATGAGTGGGGTTTCCAAAAAGTTACGATTCGTCTATCTTTACTCCCAATGCACCATTCATACACTGATGTTTGGAAGCTTCTGAAAAATGCCATTTTGGCAACTCCACAAGTCTTGTAGTCTGATGTCTAAGTATCTAAATAACTCTGAGAACCAGTAGAGCTAGTTCCAAGTTTTTGATCTTGTTTTCCTAAGCTGCACTATTGTCACATACTACTATTTGTAAAGTAGCTCTTATTTTTTTGAGGTAAGTATCACAGCAATAATAAGGGCAACTTTATTAATTATATGTCAATACCCATAATTCCGTCTGTACCTGCAGCGGAAGGTAGCACTTGCAAATGAAGAATCAGAATTCTATTGGAACACAGACAACTGATTTTTAGATCAGACAGGCAACACCAAGGGAGCAAAAAGCTGTAAAACTGTGAACCGTTTTTTGTTGCTTTCCTTACACTTACAAAGGATGTGGCCTGGGCCTGTGGGAGAGGCTGAGCATATTGGTCCTGGAATAAGGCAGCATGGCAGCCTGCTTGTGAGAATTACCAGTACCCAAAGACAACTGAAGGACATGGGAATACATACAGACACATCTCCCCACCCTTCCACAGGCACTGAATGCAAATCTAATTCAGTTGTGTCTTCACTAGCACAGAATAGAAATTACAGATCTAACACTCCGTTTGCAAAACTAAGCATTCCTTAATAGAATTCAGGCAGGACATAATATTCAGAATAGCAGTCAGGAACGTGGTATGAAACAGAATCTGAGAAAATGCCAAGCAAAAGAACAAAAAAATACAAGACCTCTGCTCTTCAGAGATCTTAAAAGAACACTCATAAGCATACAACCATTTTCTTTAGTGTTTCATTCTGTGACCCATTACAGTTACTAACTCTTGGTAGCAGTTAATGCACTCCAGCAACAAGGTCCCTTGATAGCCAGGTAGAATGACTGCAGTAATTGGCTTCTGTCCCAAGAAACTTACAACGTGAAAAAGAAATCAGAAGTTAAATTAATTTAAAATAAATGCAGTTTCAAGAACATTCATTAGAAACTTAAATCGGTGACAGCAGTAAGAAACAGTGAAAAATGTACATGGCTGAGAAGTACTTCCTGGTAAGGTATTGCCAGGAAAAACAAGAAGTATCTCTACCCTATCTGACTGAAAAAAAAAAAAGGAAATTATTAAATAGCGTATGAAGTCCTACACCTTGCATATGAGGATGATTACAAGATATGCCAGTAAACACGGTGCACAATGTTTAAGCCACCTTGTTATAGCGAATTCCTTACATTGTGTTTTGTACAGAGGTCCCGCACTCCTGTGAGATAACCTTTGTGAGGAACAACCACACCTGCTTCACCTTGAATTGGCTCAACCATGAAAGCTGCTACGTTGGGATCTTGAAGGGCCCGCTGTAAAAATAAACACATGGATAGGAAAGAAAAAAAGGAAAAAAACTTTCACTCAGGTCAAATTTAGAAAATATGGAGATGAATACATGTAGCAGAACCTAGCTCTAATCCTGATGTTCTACCTCAAATGACAGTAGCATATTCACGTCAGGCTGAAATCCCTGAGTGCCATTTCAGTTCTAACACCAAAGCCTGTGTCACTGTTTGCCTCAAAAAATCAGCTGGTGTGCTTGCTTGGGAAGTTACAAACCTTAAAAATTGCAAACCCAGACAAGCAGATTATCGGATCAGTTCATAAATTACCTCAGAAATACACTCAGTTTTGCATTATCCCATAAAAGACAAACACTTGCTCAACACTTCCCTCAAACAAAAAGAATGGAGCCTCTTCAGAACAATTTTGTCATCTTAAAGCAAAGTCCACAGCTACCTTCTTGCACCATCAAGTTCTAAAAGGTTTAGAAATCCACGAGACTCAAGAGATATAATGATTCCCAGCATGAATTTACTACAGCTTTTCTCAGTATTGCCCCATGAACAGAACTAATTCAGTTATCGCGCTGATGGACATAGATCTAAGTTTCAGGTCTCCAGAGCATGTTCAAAGTCTCCATAAAGCTGGCTGAAAGCCACTAAATACTTACAGGGCTTTCACAATGGGCAGCCTTATGTAGGTTCAAATCTGGGTAAGCTTTTCCATTCTGCAACACTGTAGTACACTGAGAGACCTTTGTTTCCCCTAACCAAACTCGTAGGAGGCAAGCATCTGTGTCTCAAACCCTCCAGTCTCCACAGCCAACTCACTGGTAGTAAGCAGACCAAACAGGCACAGAGGACTAATCAACTTGTCACTCATGGAGATGATGTACCCAGATGATGGAAAAGTGGCAACGCCAACGTTCCTAGTGCTTCAGGACTACCTGTGTTTGGCCTTGCCTCCCAGGCCCCAAGTACAGCACCCTACGGCTGCTATCAAGCACCATCTACCCTTTAAGCCCACATTATAAGGGTGGGAAATTTTAGACTAATCAAGGTCAATCCTCCCCAACAGCGTGACAGGATGCATCTCAGAAAACCCAGGGATATGCGGAATCACTACTGTTTCAGTAGCTTAAGTGGAACACTAGCCTAGCACGGTTTTAAGGATGCTGTCAAACTGGAAAGACTTGTTTGCGATGACGGGGAATTCTAGTCAACCGGTCATCCAAGAATGCACAGCATTTCTGAGAAAAGTAGGTAAAGATATTAGTTTCAGGATCCAAGTCCTGACTTTGGAATGTATGCTACTGATCTGAATTCCCTTACGGTTTATCTGCTGTTCTTCATTTGTACCTTGAACTTCTTAGTGATGTGGGAAATGAAACAGATTGTATGGTTTTCCTTTTACATCTTAAGGCAAAACTGAAAATCAAAACCAAAGCAGAATTTACACACATTTCCTATACATAATTTATAACATATATATTTCTTATTTATGTCTAGACACATACATCTTAATGGCAAAGCGTATGTTTCAAAGGATAAACTTCTGATTTTCCTGCCTTGTTATTTACCAAAGAGACACTGTAGAGTGATTTCTTCCAAGAATACAAAAATTGTCATATACCTCAAGAGCTGGTAGGTCATTGTATGGGATTACTTCGAAACCTGGCATAAAGGGTCCAAATCCATCATAGCTGGATGGGTCAGTAGAACTAGAGATAGCAGACATTGTTCTGCCCCAGAAGTTGCCAGCTAGAAGGAAAAAACAAAAAAAAAAAAAAAAAAAAAAGGAGGAGATTGTTACAAAACTGACATAAGAGCCGTAACAGTTCATAGGACATCACACTTTCCATTTGGTAATGCATTTTAAGAGTTGTCTAACATTAGCATACTAGCATCCTTCTGCCAATTGTTTGCATTTTACATTGACGCCATAAATACATTGTGTTGCTATATCAAAAGCACATACCACAACCAAAAGAAAATTATACTATATGACCTGGCAAGTATACAAAATGGTTTCCATAAGCTTTGTTAGTAGTCTGAAAAATCGAAAATAACGCAGGAAGATAACATCCTTTTAAGGAAGATGTACAGTTTTTACATAAATATTACTCATTAAATGCAGGGGGGGGGGGGGGAAAAAAAAGTAAACACCACCCAGAATTTAGACCCTAAAAATAAAGCTTCCAGTAAGTCTAAATCAAAAAAAATATATACTTCTGTGTATTTCAAAGTTCCAGGAGAACTCATTCATATTCATAAAAATATTGTACTATTCCATATAGAAATATCAGTTAAAATGTCTAGGAACCAACTATCATCAGGACTATAACATATTCATTTTAATATTTCTGTTAAATCAACAGTCTCAGCTAATCAATAAGGTGCTTAATAAGACTAAGGAAGATTATGGGTTCAATGCCTTCACAGCATTACAAGCCTTTTCTTTCCTCCACCAATTTCTTTGTGTAACTGTGATCCCAGGGGCAGAGGATGTTCTCAATCTGCAGGAAATCCTGAAGTCACTTGTTACTGACATAGCGGGCTCGAGGCACTCCTTCCTTCCCATCGCCAATGTAAATAGCATTACACTGTTCACCATAGCAATGTCTCCTAGCAGAACATCCCTGCCGTGCTTTGCTGAGTCACAGGCTTACCACCTCAAGGTGATATTAGTGCAATCCTCTGTATCCTGAAACAAAGCCCTGAAGACTGAATTACATGGAGCAGAGCAGTCTATCTGCTGATGGCCGCTGTCTCCACCAGTCTCCGTATCAGCCCACTGTCACGCACAGAATCTATGTTAAGTTCTCTGGACTGATGTCTAAAGCCATTTTTTGTTTTGACCCTAGCTACCCAAGAGAGATTTTTTTTTCATGCCAAAATGTTGGCTTCTGATAAGAGGATTATTATTTTCTTCCAACTCCTTGGCACATAATTAAATATTGTGGTTAAGGAGATGGAATCATAATAATGGAGAGCATACCCAGTTTATCAAGATGAGAAAGCACTTACTGAAAGTTAATTGACTGAACAGCAAAGCAAAAAATATATGGAAGAGAAACAGGGAAGAATATAGTTGTTCAAAGAATTCCCAGAAGAAGAAAAAAAAAAAAGTCCCTAATTGGTCCTAGAAACCATAATGCAATATTCAACTATGAATTTCAAATTATAAATGCTGTCCAATGACAGTTTATGGTTCAGCTACTATATGTACCAGCAGTCAATAGTATTTGCAGCTGTAGCAATTTTAAAAAAAAGTCAATATTTGAGTAGTAAGCTTTATTCTGGAAGGTTTTATAAAATACAAAACCATTGAAAAACATTAGAATTGACAAAAATATTTCACCTATAACCAAAGAATACCAAATGTAAGTTATTTGAATTAGACATAATTTTTTAGGTTTTTATTTTTAGCAAAGCACAGTAGTCTTTTCAGGGGCACGTAACTTCTCCTTGTTACAGAGCCGAGCAGGCAATATGTAACTTCTCCTTGTTACAGAGCCAAGCAGAGCAGGCAATAACTGGAGGAAGCATACCATGTCTATAATCAGGACTTTCCAGGGCCCCATATTTACTTTAGCAGTATTGCTTTTACTTGCATTATATGATCAAGGCTACAATATGGCTTTACTGGGTTAATGCCAACTTCTGGAAGACCTTAAGGATGCAGAAGAAAACCA